GACCAATCATTTATGACAATGGAAATATTCCTACTAACTCTGCTTAAACACTATGTTGATGCTAGCTAGCACTCATGAATTAGTATGCATCCGTTTTTAAAAGGATGTCTCAAAAGCACAGAAAACAAATACATAGAATTGTCTCAGAAATAAAAATAGATGTGTGTTTTCCCCTTGATTCTTTTCTTGAACTCTACAGAATGGAGGGGATTACCTTGTCAATACTGCTAATGATTGAATGATTAAAGGTAGTTTATTCCCCAGAAGATCTTCTCTAGGATATACATTCCTATTTTACATGATTGCCTTTCAAAAATGTGTCACGAGCACATTGAACACCATGACATGTGTCTCTCAGGAAACCTGATTTAGTTCCATTTGTCTCATTTTTTAAGAGAATGTCTCTAATTGCTTAGTTTCACATATAATTAGAGTTCATCTTCTCATAATGGTTCTGATGTCAGACAGATGTGGCTATGAATCCTAAATTTGCCACAAAATAACTGTTTTGACATTAAAAATTAAATAATTTCCCTAAGCTTCAACTTTCAGCTTGGCAAAAAGGGGATGTAACATTACCATAAAGAGTTAATGAAAGTAGTAATTAGATAATAGGTCATTAGCATAGTGCTTGCTAGACATACTGGTGATGTGTGATAACTTTTGTTGCTTTGGCTACATGGAAATATCATTTAACACCACAAAACCTGTTACATTGAGTATGGGCTACAACCTTATGTAACTTCTTGTCCTGATCATAGCTCATGTATACATGTGCACTGTTTGACAAACCAAAATATTCTTATCTTGCTGTTTATAAAAGCAAAGGAGTTCCAAAAACCCGGAGTTCTAATGATCAGGGGTCTGAAGTATATAATTTTGCATTTAAAATGGGGTTTCCCAGTTCTTAAATCTCTATTATTTATCATGAAGGCAGCTGAGGAGGAAACTGGGGCATGCTATGATTGTTCTAAAAGAAATCATCATCTTCCATTTGAACTTTATCTGTCCTCAAGACCCTGTTTCTCTGTTCACTACATATCCATCACCAATCCTTGGGAAATGAGACAAAAGCATTCAGTTATTACCTGATAGACACTTTTAATTTTGATTTCTCTTTAAAAGTAAGATCCTTCGATGAGATAGGGGATAGCAAAAGGAACTTTATATTTCATAGCTTTCACTATAACTAGAAATATCTCATTGATAGAATTCTGGTACATTAGCTATAAGTAAAATATTGTATGGGACTTCCAAGGACAGTGTAGTCTAAGTATTCTTCATGAATAACAATCCATCCTTACAAGCATATAGGGGACCCATCACTACTGAGCCTGCTTCCTAACAGGTGCTATGAATCCTTCAAGGTGAAAGGGAAACAAAGTATATGAAAACAAATGCCTCATGGGTAAACATGTACATAAATTCACAAATCATTTTTAACTCTAGAGCTAAAACAAGAGTATTAACAATAACTGCATTTAGAAATGTAATGGCTATACAACATAAAAAGATATAAAGTTATAATCCCCAAAGCATGAAATTGAATGAGTAATAAAAACACAGCTTTTTACATAATTGAAGTTCAGATGTTAGCAACCAAAAATACACATTTAATAAATTTAATAAAATTCCCCTGGCACACCTTTAATCCCAGCACTCAGGAGGCTGAGGTAGGCATATCTCTGTGAGTTTGAGACCAGCCTGGTCTACAAGAGCTAGTCCCAGGACAGCCTCCAAAGCCACAGAGAATCCTGTCTCAAAAAAAAAATTAATAAAATTCCCATGAATTTTATTATCCAGACCATCACTACGTAAAACATCAAATCATACACATACACAAATACACATGTGTATTCATATATACATACATACATACACATATGAATTTACATAAGCACCCATTGTACTCCTGAGGAGGCATGTAGCAGTCTACTAGCCCAGATAGGGAACAAATATGGATATCATTAAATCCCAGCTTTGTGATCCAATGAGTTTAATGGGTTTGGATACAGGAATGAGGGAACAGTTTTTTACTGGAGCAAAAATGACTGAAAGACAGATGTATTATCAAAAGGTTATCCATCGTGAGTAACAACTCATGAAAGATAGACTTGTGGAGCATTCTGAACAACGTTCAAGCAGTTCAGGGGGTGGGAGAGTGTCTTTGCCCATAGGCTTAGTTGGTCAGATCCTCTGCCCAGTAGTCCAACTGCTCTCTTGTTCTTCTGGACAGTATAGTGATCACTGTTTAGCTTTTTGGAGCCCCTCTAAGATGCTCAGCCTGTCTGAGGGTGTCTTTCAGCAGCCCCAACTGCTTACACTTGCTTGGAGAGGAGATGCATGGTGAATCAAGTCAGTTTCAGGAATTATTGCATTGTGTACTGCCTCCCTTGAGAAAATTCCCCTCAAGATGTGATGTTTCACCTCCTTTTAGAATACCCTGTCTTAACCAGATTTCTTCCAAGATCTTCCAATTTTCTGAGAAAATTGCCACACAATAATACATAAGTACATATATGCACACACACAAGTACATATATGCACACACACAAAAACACACACACCACACACACACAAATCCACATGCATACACCTACACACAGAGCCACCCCAAACATACACACTATCACGAAAGAGTACAGAAGAGATACAAAGAAAATAGAAAACAACTTAAAGGTAGAAGTCCTAATCCAGTCATAACTACTTAGTATTTAAATGGATTATATCCTCAATAGAGTGGCTGATAAAAAACAAAACAACAACAAAAAGAAAAAGCAAACTACCCCTTTGTTGACAAGGGCCTCACTTTAATTTTAGGCAAGAAATATATGGGAAATAAATGAATGGAAATTATATAAATGTGTCAAACATCCAAACACATTGTGTTTCAGCATAGACATTGTTACATCTGGAGGTATGACTAGTGTATCACAATATTAGTAGGAGACATTAATACCCAAATTTTAATAATGGGGGAAATCTAAACATAATACCAGTAAGAAAACAGAGGCTTATAATACCACAATTGTCCAAGTGTACCTAAAACAGACACACACACCCTACACAACAACAAAATGTATGGTCTTCTCAGGTGTACAAGCAGTGGTCCACATTATAAATCACATTGGGACACAAAACACTCCCAGTGCATTTAAGAGAAAGTTGTAAAAATGAAGTAAAATTAAACATTATTAACAAAATAAAACTGGTACATTCCAAAAAATGTACCAAATAATGACATATGTTTAATATCCTTTGATTGAATATTTTTAAAAGCAATGGAAGAAGGAAAAAATATCTTGAGATAAAAAATAAATGGAAACACAGCATACCATGACTTAGAGAATTCAAGAAAAAGGACAGAGTTTGCTGAATCTCATAGTTCAAAGAGCTGGAAGCAAACAGTAAATTAGAAATGTACAAAATAGTGAATACAGCAATAGAAAAACATTGAGCCTAAGAGTTGATTTTTAAATAAATAAATAAGAAAAAACTTTAGTTACAATAACTAAGCTATAAAAAGACAATTAAATGAGAAAAACATATTGCAACTGATATCATAGAAATATAAAAGGACCATAAGAGAATGTGATAAACAATGATGCATTAAAAGTTACATAATCTAGAAGACATGGATACATTACTCGTCACATATACCAAGACTCGACTAAGTTGAAATCAAAATTTTAAGTAACCAAATAATTAGTAAGAGGTTGAACTGGTAATAAAACACTCCCAACAAAGAAAAGTACAACACATACCAGATAGTTGTGCTCATGAGATCTATAAACATTTAAATACTTAACATAAAATTTCCAATAACAGATACTAAAACAGGAAAACACTTCCAAACCCACTTTATAAGATCAACATCGTCCAGTACCAAAACCAGAGACAGATTAAAGATCAAGAAATAAAATCTGCCTACACTACATCCTGTAACATGGCGTGTGACTGTTACCTCTCCTCCTGCATGTCCCGCTTCCCCCTTGTCTGGCTGGTGACTCTGCCTTTTTTCTTCCCGGAAGTCTCACCTATACCTCCTGTCTAGCTATTGGCTGTTTAGCTTTTTATTACACCAATGACAACAACACAGTATACAAATATCCCACAACAGTCTGCCTCTTAGAATTACTATTGGAATAGCAAAACAAAAGATAACAAGTATTGGTGAGAATGTTGGTGAATTAAAACATTGAAGGGTTTCAGTTCCATGGCACATCTGCGCATCAGCTACAAAAGGACATGTAGATGACCTTGCTTATTCTTGGTTCTCATTTCTTTGCTTGTTTATTTTAAAAGTGATTAAATAATTTTATTGTACCCTCCTTTATATTGCTAACAAGTCTAAGCATGTTAGGAAATCTGAAAAAAGAAACACACTTTGGTTTCCATAAAGTGTGCATAAAATGTCTATCCAGAAAACAAAGATCTGATAATTATATTGAACACCAATCTTTAGATTGTGATCCTCCCAAGATATAATAAAATACATACAAATTAAATTAGAAGGTGATATAGTGTTGTTGAAGTTCATTTTAACAATTTTAGGTAAGCAACTGTGGTAATTAAATTTATGACCAGATAAAATGAGCAAAAATATTGTGTAACACCTCAAAAGTATCCCTCAAACAAAATCTGATTTGTGCTTAGAACAGCAAACAGTAAACAATAAGAATGGTCACAGAAATTTCTAGCTTTCCGGGTAACCATTCTACAATAATGAGAGAAAAAGAAAACTTTGCCATCTTTAAATAATGGGAATCAAAATTTTAACTGTCACTGTACTAAATATATTAAAACATAAACATAATATGATGCTTGGTTAATTTGCCGAGGATTCTCTTGGAGCCCACAAAGCATCAACTATTTTGCTGTTGGTCAATAGATTTAAGAAATAGCCTATAATCTGAATAGCTCTTGCTCATCAAATATTTGGACAGTGTGATGTGCTAGTGGTCTTGATACTTATTGCTCACCATCTTCTGTCATTGCAGCCCAATGACAGCTCTGGAGAAGATATCACTGCCAAAGAAAATGAAAGCAGCCTGGAAATATAAGCATAAGACAGAGAAAATACAACAGTCAGGGCAGAGAATGTTAGCTCCAGGAAAAAAATTGAAGAGAGGAAAAGGTCTGAAGAGCTCTTATGTCAAGTCTAGATTCTTTTCAGCTCTTTGTTAAAGCACCAAGATAAACAGACCAGGGTGAACCTACTGGAAAAACAAACACATGTGTATACTTTAGACATTGGAAATAAGACATCTGATCATCAAAACAAGCATCAGCTGTGTGTGACTCTTTTGGCTCTCTGAAGATCAAGAAGTCAAATGGGTTTAAAGACTGGCTCTACTGTTAAGAGGACTTTGGGAGCCCATTCACTATGGAGGGATACTATTGCAGCCCAGATACAGCAAGGAGGGCCTAGGCCCTCCCCCAAATGATATGACAGACTTGGAAGGTCCCTTGTGGAGGACCTCACTATCCCTGGGGAGAAGTTAGGGGGTTGGGAGTAACATGGGAGGATGGGAAGTCAAGGGAATGGGGGGATGGATATGTAAATATCAGTAGTAATTAAAGAATTAAAAAAAAGAAGTCAAATAGTTCAATTGGAATTGCTGAACCAGCGTCATGAGTTTGCTTTCATAGTGGCATTGTTCACTCTCCAGGGAGGCCCTTAAAACGGGAAAATTTCCCTCACCCTAAAGTCCAGCTGCTGCAAACTAAAACCTAGTGGAATGTCTCAAGCACACCATGTGGTACCTAATCACCTACTATTGAGATCTGCTGGTCCATGTTGACCACTGTAGGAAGCAGCAGATATTTCTCACTCTTATACCAGAAAATTCTGGACAGTAGTCTATGTTTGCTTATGGACACTTGGAATCACACCTTCCATCTCTTGCATAAGCATCTACCCATCAACCACTCGCACTCTGGCATGCCAGGGCATCCTTGTATTGTCTGCTTCTTTTAAGTCTTATTGTTCCCATCAAGCAGAATGATGCAACTGTGAGATAGAGGGAATACACTATTGAATTATTTATTTTCCATTTTCTGTTATAGTTACCCAAAACCTTGTTTATTATTATTTTGTTCTGAGAAATTTTTGCCATCTGCAGGTGTCCACAAAGGCGAGAAGAGGGCAGTAGATCCCCTGAAATTATAGAGATACAAGTGGTTGTGAGCCACTATGTACATTCTGAGAATGGGACATGGGCCCCCTGCAAAAGCAGCAAGCATTCTTGACTGACAGCTTCCTCCACATTTTGCATTTGTATGAGCCAAATACAGTCCCTCAATCCAATCATAATCTCAAAAATAGGAAGGCACATACGTATTTTATAATGTATGATGAAGTCTAGTTTACCATTACTTCTTTTGACTGTAAAACACAATTTAAAAAGGGCAATCTGGGCTGAAGAGATGGCTCATATGTTAAAGGCTAGGATAACAACCAAAAAAGGGCAATCTAAGACAAAAAAGTATGTGCTATAAGATAATAGAAAAGATCATATTATCATGAATCATATACTTCAAGTTTTGTGCTACATGATTGATTTTAGATGATTTTTCAAAATAATAGTAAAATGAGTATTTCTTTCAAATGTCTTAATACCAGGTTAAAAATTTGGTTTGCTTTTTAAAACTAAACCATAATTATTACATATTTTCTAGTTTCATTAACTAATATGTACTTTGAAGTAGCTCTCCAATTTCACCCTCTGCAATTATTAAATGCAGATTATATAAATATGCTAATTGTTTGGGATGTAAGAATACTTAAAATGGTGAAATTCTATCACTTATTTTACAGCTACTGCTCCCAGTCATTTTCGTGCAATAATTAGGTCTAATAAATTGGTCCATAACCTAGGAAACCATCCTGTATGAATCAATATAATCTGCCAGGTTTTTGGTTGTCATAGAAACTGATTATATCCAGCATGCTAACACAAGACATATTTTAGCCAGAATTGATTAATATACCAAAGTTTAGGAAGAAGCCTATTCATAACATGCTAAAACAACTTTTATAATTGTATTAGGTTACATTTTCTGATACACCATATCCTATTTAAAATTTTAACATACATATATATGCTAGAATTAATATGTGTATACATAATATATTTAATGAGTTGATAAGGAAGTTCTTTGAGAAGGAATCCAGCATTATTTTTATTAATCTTCATTCCATAATCCCCTGTCATTCTAGATTAAACACTGTATCATCATAACTTCCCCAGCCATCCAGTCACTCATACTTAGAAGCTTAGGTGTTACTACCATTACCCCATTGCAAGAATGTGAGTGATCCAAAGATTTTTAAATCCAACATTGGTATTCACTGAACTTCCTAATCTTTAGAATTCAAAATGTAATTTCTGAAATAAAAAGGATATAATTAGAGCCTTGAAACAACTAAGCACTGTTTTGTGTGAAAATAATAGAGATCCTGAGAGTGAGATATTTGTTACTCAAAGGTTTTATATGTAAAGCATTAGAGGAAAATATGAGTCATTATTTTTGATGAAGTACATTTTTATAAATTACTTCTTTTCATGTGATTGAAATACTGGCATTATAATGTAAGAAAATTGCAATACTAATATATCAGCATCTTTAACTGAATAGAGGATGCCACTAAATCATCTGTAAAACAAATGAATTTTACATTAAATAAAACCATGTAGGAAAATATAATCTATGGTAGATATGCTCATAGATACTATATTATACACACATTCATGTATGAAGGCTGCATATATAATATTTATATAAAATACACATATGTATGCATGTATGTATGTGCTACTCAAAGATACACATATATGCTTCTGTGTGAGTAGAAGGAGGTGGAGGGAAGAGAAATGCAATGAGACCCTGCACATGTATACATTAGCTCTAGAGAATAAAATTCTAGCCAATTTTCACCTATATCCTTACCATCTAATATTGTCTCATGTTAAGGAGCTAAACTAAGTGATTATTGTCATTCTTCTGTCTATATTTCCTACTTATTTAGAAAAGCAAATGCACAGTTATAATCTACCAACTAAATGAATGAGCTCTATCTAATTCCATAGTACCATCAGTCTTCAGAGAGTTTTCAAATTTTCTGCCTATATAAGGAAATATAAGGATCACGATCTGTATACGGAGAAACCAAAGCAATTTACCTATTATATTTGTATCTGTTGATCTTTCCTTCTACTTGAGATTTGTTGAAAACAGGGTGCTTGCTTTTTTATTTGTCTCAAAACAGGGTTTCTCTGTGTAGTCCTGGCTGTCATGGAACTTGCTGTATGGACCAAGCTAGCGTTGAACACACAGAGACCTGCCTGTCTCTGTCTCTGTATGCTGGGATTAAAGGTATGCATCACCACCACTCAGCTGAAAATAGAGTACTAATTTTAAGATTCTCAATAGTTTCATGACTGCATTTTAAGGGCCCTTGTTATTTCATGTTTTGATAGAAATTCACTTTTGAATTTTGTAACTACTTCTGAGTAATATAAGTTATTTATGTCCCTGAAATAAAGGACCATATCTGACTGTATTAGTTTTGCCTGACAGAAGTCACTAATGATAGTTATCATCATCCATTATTTAGGGTTTACAATATGGTGATTCTAATATTATGTAATAGCTAGGATATTTCTGTAAAACAAAGCTTCATTTAAGAATTATTTTGCCATTGTAGAGTACGGCTTATATAGACATGAGAGAATAAACCCTTGATTCTTTGATTTAAAAAAAAAGTTTTTTCAGAATAGCAAAGAGTTCCTTGACCAGCATCTTTTCCAGGGGACATTGGTTAATGCAGAGACTCATAACTGGATCTGTGGATGTTCTGAGGATGAGGTGGTAAATTTCCAGTCCTAAAGGAGATATTCCCACTGCTGGGTCAGGGAACATCTTGATAGGAGAGTAGAGATATGTAATCACCAGTTGCAGCTGTATTTGGGATACGGCTGTTTCACTCATGAATTCACAACATCTGTTTAAGACCTATGCAAGGTCAACCTAGTCAAAATTCCAGAATAGAAGATTGAGATGTTCACTAGGGTCTACATCTGCCTGAGGTAGCTGATGGAGGCTGGTATAGAGCAAGTGTTTGCAAGGGGACAGGGGCATGTAAACTCTAATAGGTATTCCAGGCTACAGTGGGTACTGTAATTATATATTTACCCCCTCTCTCCCTACAACTCTTCTTATGCTGCAAACATCTTACTAGTTCATGACCTCTTTTTTAACTATTGTGTATATTGTCTGTTTTTCTTTTAAAAATAGGCATAATATATTAAAATGTATGTTAAATTAAAATTGTGTGTATGTGTGTAAAATGCTGGGTCCATTTATGTTGCCTTTGTGTTCATATGCTTAGGGATGACTATTAACTAGACAACCTACCAGGAGGCTCATCACTGGAAAAGACTTCTGGTTTTCCTCTTTCAGCAACTACTAACTGCCTGTAGGTTTTCTAGAGCTGGGACATCGTGATATTTTCACCATCATCAACAGCATGTCAGATAGTGTTAAAATTGTAAAGATCTACTTTAGGAGACTATATTGTTAAGATTCATTATCTACAGCTTGCTTGCTATAATCTTAAGACATTCACAGACATCTAATTTCTCTCTGGTTCTTATAATCTTTCCATATCCTCTTCTAGTATGTCCTAGAGCTTTATTTAATGCATAGGGTTTGTGATTTAAAAAAAATACATCCCTTGATTTAAACACGTTACGCTCAGGTGTTCTCTGTATTTTGACCAGCTGAGGATTCCTATAATGTGTGGCACCCATGCCACCAGTGAGTATAATGTATCGGGCAAAGGCCTAGAGATTTAAATTAGAGACAAGATGTCCAGCCGTTTGTGCTAAGAGAGTGTGTGTCTCTGTCTCTGTCTGTATCCGGTCTCTCTCTCTCTTTATTACAGGGAGTAAGTAGCCTTATATACAGACTTACAGCACAGTAGAAAAACCCCAGGTGTAAGAGTTCCTGTTTTTTCATACTAGATGTTGATGCCAGTGGGGCAAGGCTGGCTGTAAGCCAGGGCTAGAGAACAGGATGCACCTGTCAATTCACAGAGACCACATGGGGGCTGGGGCCCAATAATAATGGTCTCCTTCTTCTGAAAGTAGAAGCTTTTGGATAAGGAGTAAAAGCTACACTTGTATAAGGTTAAATGTACACACACACACACACACACACACACACACACATATATATATATATATATTGAGTATAAAAGATAAGTATTTAGGTTGCAGTTCAGACTTACACTAGTTTATGAAAGTGGTAGTAGTAGGTTCTTCTCTGGGATCCATGACATCATCAATCTTGAGTATGACTCCACATTTCTAGTATCGGTTACGAATTACATATTGAGCAGGCCATAAGTCCAATTCCATTAGATGGTTGTTGGTTATCCCTA